ACTCAGGGTGGTGTTTATGGTTACATCCTTGCCTGAAATGACCAAATTAGGGCCAATCCTACCCACAAGGGTGCACTGGCCACCAGGAGTCCCTATCGGTCCTGTGGCCATCTTACCTTCAAACACGCAGAAGACACTGTCACCAGTCACAGTGTGCCTTCCACATACGAAAACAAGATTGAGTGTGAGGTACGTTTTCTTCCACCAGCCAGGTATTCAGTCTCTGCCAAACACCACCAGTATCAGCAAATCCAGTATAGGTACCATGTCTACATGACGAGCTGCAGGGGACCGCAGCTTGTTCTGCTTTGAGGGCATTCTGACCAAATGAACCCACTGCTAGGACTAACATTCCCAACCAACAGGACCTAGAATAAAAGGAAGAGATCCGGGTTATCTATGGAGAATAAGCAAATGAAACACAAAGCAGGGAGGGACACTAATTAATGATATTAAGCACCTATTCTTTGCAGGCGCTGTGCTACTTGGGATCATTTAGTTTTCAAGAAAATTTGCGATAACCATAAATCCCTCCTTCCCTTCCTCTATCCCCCCCTTCCTTCCTTCCTTCTTTCCTACCTATTTTCCTCTCTCTCTGAATAATACAGTCAAAAAGCCATTTGATAGCCCCCCCCCTTTCCCTCCTCCTGCCTCCTTTTCCCATCTCCTCTCTTGGAGGGAAAAGGCGCTGTGGAGGCAGCTGCACGGGGGCTGGGAAGCCAAGAGGGGAGCCACTGTGCTAGGGAGATTAGTCACATACAGGGAAACTGGGGAGGGGGGTGGGAAGAAAAAAACTGTACTGAGAATAGTGGGAGCCAGGATAAGAGATTTACAAATGTGGCAAGAAAGAAGGCTAGAAAAAACCCTGATGCGCTGGACTGGAACTGAAGGTGTCAGTGTGAACTCTTAGGTAGACAGTTAGCTACTGAGAGAGATACAGTCATATGAATGTGTGTATATATATATATAATACATATATAGATGTAAATATATTTTCTAGATCTACGCTCTGAGGGTCTGGTGGTAATGATCTATCAGTAGCAATGAACACACTTAATGCCTAGATCTTAATTTTTAAACACTAAGAGGAGCCAGGGCTTCTTGGGGGAAATCGGTGATCCCAGGTCTGGGGCAGGGAAGGTATAAGATGAGCCTGGAGAATTTTATTGCACCAGAATGTGAAAAAGTGCTCAAAGAGTGATGCGGATATGTCAAAAGGATAAAGGAGTCAACGTGAAGGCTATTTCATCAGCCAAATGTGGAACAATTTGAGCATTAAAATAAATAACAACTTATAACCTATTGAATAAAATAGGAATTCGCAAGTCTATACTGATACAAATGAATGAATGAATCAATGGGGACGAAGGAAAAGCTCTTCCTTACAGTAGAATGGTAACTACTATATGTAGAAGGAATTATGGAAACAGAAAATCACAATCGGAAAACCATCACAATGGTGGTTATTCATGTGGGAATCACCAATAGATGCCGAGTTGGTGTGTGGGAGTTTCATATGTATAGAACACTGGCACAGCGTGGAGAGTATCCCCCCGACAAAATACTTGTCAATTACAAAGGGAGAAATAATGGCATTATGGTGTAGAAATCTGACAAGCACTAACTTGCCAGATGGTCAAGGTTGGCCTCACAGGGGTGGGAGGGGTTAATGCTGAGTGGCCTCCCGGCCTTATCGATGGAAAAGACCACAGCATCTTCTTCGGCACTTCCACCAAAAATGGGTGGCCTGAGTCTGGTTGTGAGGAAACCTCAGAGTGATCCTGGTTGCCAGAAATCTTACGGAATGAAAAGCCTGTGCCCTTTGAAACTGTTAATGTTGTGAAACAGAGGGAAAGACTGTGGAAAATGTTCCAGGTTGAAGGAAACTAACAAGAGGCAAAACTAGTGATTCTGGATGGGACGCTGAACCAGATGGGAAAACGACACGTTCAAACACTTTTCAAAATGTGAATAGGCCTGTGGATTAAACAGTAGTGTCCCATCAGTGTGGATTTCCTCTGTTGAATGGTTTACAGCATGTGTTAGAGTGTGTCCTTGTTTTGGGGGGAATTGGGTACAGTGTCTGTAACCTGTTCTCAAATGATTTGGAAAAAAGAATGAGGGTGTGCAAATGGCAGAGAGAGAGGGAACAAAAAAAGATAGTGCAAATGTGGTAAAATATTGAAAACTGGAAATTGGGGGAGATTTTTGGGGAGAATTCTTTTTTGGGACAAATTGTTTTGGGAGTTCTTTTACTGACAAGAGGTGAACAGGCAAAGGAGCCATGATTAGTGGATAACTTACTAATACTGTATTATTGTTGAGATAATCGTGGTACCTGACTTTCCTCCGTGTCCCTGAAACAGGATTATACATCCGACCCCCCGGACGTCTGGCCTGGCCTTGTGACTTGCTCTGAGCGCCATCAGTTAGTTTTGCCACCTCTTTTCCTTCTTCCAGGAGAAAGAACATCTGGACAGAGGCTGCTCCTCCAGCCTGGATCCTAGAGGCGACCCAGGGAAGCAGAGCTGCAGCACGGGCCAGATGGAAACATCTGTTGTGGCGAGCCACTGAGATTTGGTCATTTGTAAGCCACAGCAAACTAATTTTTCTATTCACGAATTTTTCTATTCACTAGTTGAAGGCTGCTTGGCTTGTTTCCAGTTTTTGACTATTACTATTACAAATAAAGCTCCTATGAATATTCATGTAGAGAGTTTTGTGTGAACATAGGTGTTCAATCTTCTACAATAAATACCAAGGAGTGTGACTGCTGACTGATATAAGCATATGTTTAACTTTATAAGAAACTGTTAACCTGTTTTCCCAGGCAGTTGTACCATTTTATATTCCCACCAGCAATATACAAGACATACAGCTGTTCTGCATCCTTGCCAGCATTTGGTACTAGTAGTATTTTTTATTTCAGCCATTCTAAATAGGTATGCACTGTATCTCATCATGGTTTTAATCTGCATTTCTTTAATGGCTAGTGACAGTGAACATCTTTTACTGTGCTTATTTGCCATCTGTACCTCTTCTTTGGTGAAGTGACTATTTGAGTCTTTAATGCATTTTCTAATTAGATTGTTTATTTACTCTTGAGCTTAAAGAGTTCTTGAAAATTAAAAGACAGTGAGAAAACATTTTGAACAAATTGATGCTAATTAATCCAAAAATTTATATAAAATGAAGACTAAATGGCAAAGAATAATCAAGATATTCCTGAAGAAAATAAGGTGGGTTTTTGGGGGGTTTTTTGGTGGGGGTTAGTGGAGGTGTAATAAACCAATGATACACAGTACAGAGGTCAGAAACAGACTCTTGTCTGTATGGAAATTTGATACATGACAGAGGTGACACAGCAGATCGATGAGGAAATAGTCTTGGGATAACTGATTATCCTAAAGAGCAAAAAATTAGATTCCTCTCTCACATCATACACAAAAGAATGAATTCTAGATGCATGAGGATAGAAATAGGAAAAGAAAAGCTTATGGCTTTTAGAGGAAATCTAAAAGTTATTTTTTTAAATTGAGGTATAATTGACAGAAAAATAAAAGATATCTTTATAAACTTGGGTAGAAAATACTTTTTTAAAAGATACAAACCCCATTAAAGAAAATTATTTGTATGTTTGAAACATTAAAACAAAGAGGTATGCATCAAGTAAGCAAAAAAGCAAGTGACAAATAAAGAGAAGATATTTACCATCACTCACCCAACTGAGAATGAATATCCAGGATGTATAAAGAATGCTTATAAATGAGTAAGAAATAAGAACTACCAAACAGAAAAATGGTTAACAAGTATTTCATAGAGAGGACACATGTATGGCCAATCAACCCAAGTAGAAATGAGGGAAAATCAAAACCACAAGGTACCATTTTACGCCAACCAGGTTAGCAAACATTAAGAGTTTGACAAAACCAAGAATTAGTGGGGGATACAGAATTTAAATTGGTCTAATCTTTTTGGAAAACTTTTCAGCATTATCTAGAAAACTTGACATTAACAACCTAAAAATTCTACTCCCAAGTATAGTCCCTAAAGAAACTCTTCTATATGAACATAAGGAGACATACACAAAAATGTTTATAGCACCACTGTTTGAAATAGCAAGAAGCTGGAGACAGTCCAAATGTCTTTTAACTCCAACATGGATATACAAATTGTGGCATATAGCTACAGTGAAATACTATATAGTAACGAAAAACAAATGAACCACAGTCATAAACATCAAGGGTAAAGATTCTCTTTTCAATCTTTTACAAAATCATATACTTTTACAATGTTCAGCTTTTGCTTTCATAGTCTTGGAGCAGATTTTTGTGTCTTGTTTTTTGTCAATATTTCAAGTTGTGGTAACAACACAAGTGAGTGATGGAAACTGGGCTCTCAGTCATGCCTAGGACACTTACAATAAAAGTAAATTTCACTGGGCATAAATCCACAATGTCAGGTACTTCTCAGATTTTCCAGGGGCCATTTCCTCTTATTCTCACGTTTCCCACAATTACAGATCCACCTCTTAATGTCTTCGTGTGTTTGATAAGAAGCAGAGTCCCAGGCACTAAGTTCCTCAGGACTGGCCAATCTCAGAGGGTAACAACAATCCCGACCACCCGCTCCCACTTCCTTCGTCCCACAAATTCTCCAAGGCCTTGACCCCGACCGAAGGGGCCGGTTTTCCCTTTCAACTCTCCTTCGCTCTCTGACCAAAACTCTCAAGTCTGCGCTGCCCTCATCATCCCGTCAGAGTCTGCGCAACCTGGGACTTCCTGCCAAGACATCCTCAAGGGACCAGACTCAGGCAAAACCAACGAACATAGTCAAATAAACCCTCAAGTAATCTATACCACGGGTGGCCGTTTCCTACCCACACAGTAGCCGCCAGAGGGGCTGCCTCGCACCGCCGCGTCCACGCCTCGCCGTGACGTCACACAAAGCGCCCGGAAGTGGCGGCCGGGCTGCTACGTCAGTTGGCTGCGCCGAGTTGGCCGTTGCTATTACAGTTGCTGGGAGGAGCTGAGAGGTGGAGTTGCTGGGGCAAAGATCATGCCGGAAAGCCGAAGGTTTCCTGGGCAGCAGAGGCCGGTGGGCTTGGGATGAAAGAAGCAGGGCAGATGCAAAATCTGGAGAGCGCGGGGGCCGGACGGTCAGTCAGCACCCAGACTGGCAGCATGACCGGTGAGTACCCCGAACCCTGATCCCGCCACCTAGCCTTTAGCTCTGCTCTGTGCGGATCCCTCCGTTTCACTCCGGGCTCCCTGGCTGCCCCTCTTTGCCTGCGCTTCTGTTCCTGGGCGTCCCATCCCCGCCCTGGGCGCGTCCCCACCTCGGTCACTGGGGTCCCTCCGCCCGGTTGCACTGGCTTTTGAGGTTGCGCTCACTGCCCCCTTTTACTTTACCTCCCAGGACTTGGAGCTGAAATCTCCGGGGATCGACAAGTCTGAAAATGCCCCAAACCGTGTTTTTGACTTGATTTCAAAATTAACCGTACGCGACGCTTTCCTATATATCAGCTGCTTTACCTTTAAAGGTCACCGTATTTTTAGTTCTGTGTTCTAACCACTGTCCTTGTTGCAACGCCTCCACACAGTCTAAAGTAAAGCTTGCTCCACGATGACATCAGATGCAAGGACTTTTAATAACTTCCGTTGGATTGTTCCCGTAGCTCCGTTTATCAGTTATACTTTTTTTTTTCTCTGCCGGGTGAAAAAGAGCCCAGCTTTGGAAAGTACTGGAGGAGGTTGCCTGCAAGGAGGTTGAAACTAATCTCCTGCTAAGAAAACGCTTTGATTCTCTTGTCCAAGAATCCTTTTCCTCCGTCTCCTGCTAAAATAGCCGAGCTAAGGCTGCAGCACCCATAGTGGCATTGAGTTCGTATTTTCAAAATCAGTAACATTTTTAAATGTTTGCCTTCTCTCTTGTAGGTGAAATACCAAGGCTTTCTAAAGTCAACCTTTTCACTCTGCTCAGCCTCTGGATGGAGCTCTTCCCAGTGGTCGGAACCCAAAGACAAAAATCTCAGGTATAATTTGTTTCCTTAGATAGGTTTTCCCTTTAGAAAAGCACTGGTCTAAAATTTGATTTTATTGCCCCAGTTTCTGTCACACTTAAAAACAAACTCAGCAAGCCTTTAAATTTGCAAAATACCTCTGCGGTTTATTGTGATACTTGTAATTCATAGTGTGATAGCTTTTCTTTCCAGTCTAAAAATAGATTCTCAGATGTACCATATTTACCCCTATCAGAGGTTCCATATTTATTAGCTATTGATGGCATTTATGTGTTTGTTTGGGCAGATAGTTATCTATACCACATAATTTGTCACTCAATTATATACTGTTGGTGTTTCATCTAGATGGTTTTTCCCCCCCTCTCTCACCAAACTAAATTGATTGAAGGGAGAGACCATGTCTTATTTTACTTGGTATATCTCTTAGCATCTTCTATTACATCTATGAATGTTAATTAGTTTTGTTCCATGTAAGTAGTCTCTTTTTTTTTTACATTTTTTTATTGAGTTATAGTCATTTTACAATGTTGTGTCAAGTAGTCTCTTTTTTGAATCTCAAAAGAGATGATCAAAACAGGTTAGGAAAGTATAGTAAGAACAATTATGCAAGCCAGTATTTTGGAAGTTTGTGCATCCTATGCCTTTTCTTTCTCCTGTCCTCAGGGCAGCAAGGTGCTGCATTCTCATCATTTTCCTCCGTGCTTGGAGTCAGGTTTCTTTCATACATGGTGCTGGGTTCTCACCCTTTTGATTTAGTAGATTTGGAGTTTAGATTCATAGATTTGGAGTCTAGATTGCTGTCATTAATTTTTAGGGAGCCAAGATCATATTGTGGAAAATAGTATTAGCTTAAGCATTTCAGACATGCTTTTGAAAGCAGCAATAGCTGTTCACCATTCTAATAACGCACTTTCAGCATTTTGATACTTTCCTTCAATTTTTTTTCTTAAGCACGTTTTTTTCCTTCCTTTTACAAAATAGTAATCATATTCTACATATGCTTATTGAAGTTTCCAGCTTGCCAGTAATTCCGCTGAAAGATGTCTTTAGGTTTTCCACAGAAACACTTTTTGTAAATCCTTAAATTCCCACAGTACTCTTATGAGATCATTCATAGCCATCCTTTTTTTCTTTTTCATTTTTATTATCTTCTTTATTGTGAGTGAGGTTGTGTGTTTGGCATTGGAGGTACAAAAAAAAATGTGGTCCTTATTTTCTAATGGAGAGAAAAACTAGGCATTTAAACAATTAAGGTACAAATAGATGGTGAAGTCAAGTAGAAAATATAAGCAGAGATGCTACCAAGACTGAAGCCTGAGGACCAGGCTCGACTGGGGGAAGTGAGGGAAGGATTCACAGCGGAGGCTGCATTTGCAATGAGACATGAAGAGTAAGTAGGTATTGCTAAGCCAAGGGGCTCTTTATGGAAAAACTTGAAGAGAACTTGTGGTCTTCATGTGGGATGGTGAAGTTGGGTAGAGGAAGAGAGTGGAGATGAGCTGGGAAAGGAAGATAAGGATCAGATCATAAAAAACATTGTGTGCCTTGCAAGGGAGTTTAGATTTTATCCTTTAAGTATCAGGATTTTGTTGAAGAATTGTAACACAGGGAGTTAGGGATTCACTTTTTTTTTTTCATTAAGACTTATTATTTTAGAGCACAGCAAAATTGAGGGAAAGTACTGAGATTTCCCCTGACTGCACATATGAATAGCCTCCCCATCATTCACATCTTCCCCAGGGTGGTACATTGACATATCATTTCACGCAGTCTACATTACAGTTCGGTCTTGATGTTGTACCCTCTGTGGGTTTGGACAAATGTAGATGTAGATTCAGACACTTATGTATCATGATATGATACAGAGTATTTTCATTCCCCTAAAAATTTCCTGTGCTCCACTTATTCATTCCTCCCCCAACCCCTGTCCTCTGGCAACCACCAGTCTTTTTTACTGTCTCCAGAGTTTTGCCTTTTCCAGAATGTTATATAGTTGGAATCATATAGTGAAGCCTTTTCAGTTTGGCTTCTTTCATTTGGTAATATACATTTAAGATTCCCCTATGTCTTTCCATGACTTGATAGCTCATTTTTAACACTGAATAAGATTGCTTTGTCTGGATATAGCACACTTTATTTAATCCATTCACCTACTGAAGGACATCTTGGTTGCTGCCAAGTTATGGCAATTGTGAATGAAGCTGCTGTAAACATCTGTGTGCAGGTTTTTGCATGATCATTAGTTTTCAGTTCCTTTAGGTAAATACCGGGGAGCATGATTGTATAGATTGAATGATAAGGGTATGTTTAGTTTTCTAAAAAACTAGCAGACTATCTTCCAAAGTGGCTGTACCCTTTTGCATTCCCACCAGCAGTAAGAGTTCCTGTTGCTCCACATTCTCACTAGCATTTAGTGTTGTCAGTGTTTTAAATTTTGGCCATTCTAATAGGAGTGTAGTAGTATCTCATTGTTTTAATTTGCAGTTCCTTGGTGACAAATGATGTGGTACATCCTTTTGTGTGCTTATTTGCCATCAGTATCTTCTTTGGTCAGGTGTCTGTTAAGGTCTTCGGCCCATTTTTTAATCGGGTTGTTTTCTCATTGTTGAGTTTTAAGAGTTCTTTGTATACTTTGGAGAACAGTCTTTTATCAGATATATCTTTTGCAAATATTTTCTCCCGGTCTGTGACTTGTCTTCTTATTCTCTTGACATTGTCTTTTGTAGGGCAGTTTTTAATTTTAATAAACTCCAGCTTATCGCTGATTTCTTTCATGGGTCACACCTTTGGTGTTGTACCTAAAACATCATCACCATACTCAAGGACATCTAGGTTTTCTCCTGTGTTATCTTCTTGGAGTTTTATGGTTTGGATTTTACATTTAGGACTATGACCCATTTTGAGTTCATTTTGTGAAGGGTGTAAGGTCTGTGTATAGAGAGGAAATTCACTTTTTATGATAAAATAATATCTCTTGGTGTGGTCTTCTGCCAATTCCTATGTGAAATGTTTTAGAAATAGTAAAACATTATTTAAAATGTTGTGCATTTTTATTCCCTATTTTGCAATGACTTCTCTAACCCCTACCCTGGCTCCACATATTATTAATGGCTTTGAGGAAGGTCTGCATTTTCTTCATGGATTTTTAAGTCCTTTATTATTTCTCCTTGTTAATAGCTTAGTACTGTTTTATGAAAGTAGACGACTTCTAAGCTGTTGGAGTTTTTTTTTATTTGCTTTGTTTTTTTGCCATTAAAATTGTCTTGAAGATACAAGAGTAGAAGCAAATGTTTAGAGACTTACACCTTTTAAAAGTGCATTTTTAAGCTGAGCTTTACAGTGGAATGTTATTCAACTATGATAAGGGAGGACATCAGCCATTTGCAGCACCGTAAATTGACCTTAAGCACATTATGCTAAATGAGATAAATCAGGCGGAGAGAGACAAGTACTGTATAATCTCACTTACATGTGAGAGCCAAACTCATACAGAGAGTAAGATGGTGGTTCCCACCGGCTGGGGTGTGGGGAGACAGGACAGATGTTGCTTAAGGGTACAAACTCACGAGTAGTAAATAAGCCCTGGAGATCGAATGCACAATCTAGTGACTGTAGACAATAATATTGTATTATAATCATCAAACACACTTAAGAGATTAGGATTTAGTTATTCCAACTACTAAAAAGAAGTGAATAGTTATAAACATGATAGAGGTGCTAATTATTGCTACAATGGCAATCGTATTACAATATATAAATGTATCAAATTAACATATACCTTAATTTTACACAGTGTTATTTGTCAAATATATTTTAATTACATAAATGTTAAAAGCTGAGCTCTTTAGAGATTAAATAATTGGAGGAACTCTTTTTAATGTCAAGATTTGATCTCATTTTAATTCATATACACACACATACCACACACGCACACACACACACACCAAGAAATACATCCTGTGCTGAAACTGAGTTCTTTTTCAACAGGTGCATTAAATTAAATAAATAATTCTACTATTAATTACACGTAATTAATGGTCATAAGGTTAAGATCTTTTTCCTATTAAGAGAAGAAAAATGTTCTTTAAGTTAAAGTAATACATTTGTTTCACTTAAATTCTTCTGCTTTTGCTATACAAAGTCACAGAAACTTGAAGATGCAGTTTGACATGTATTTGTATTAGAAACATTGCTTTTGACATTTTACAAACCTTTGTCTTTCTAAAAATAAGATATTTTTATGTGTTACCAAATACATGTTTATTACTTATTAAATGGCCAAAAGAAAAAAAAATCCCCCATAATTCCACCACCTAGAAACTGTTGACGTTTTTGTGTTATTTCTTGATCTTTTTTCTCTATTCCTTTACTCATTTGATATCATTTCATTCTGGATCGTGCCCTTTTCACTTAACATGGGAAAATGCTCATCCGGTAATACTGTTAGAAACACTGGAGTGACAGCTTAGTCTCATGGTTTGGGAGTAGCCAGTGGTTGCAGTTAGCTTGCCTGGGTTCACATTCTGGCTCTGCCTCTCACTCTTACTAGTTGTGTAACCTTGGGTAAGTTACCTCTTTCTTTGTTAAATTCCTCATCTGTAAAATCTAATGTTACTGGTACATACTACATGGAGCTTTTATTGAAAAAAGAATTTACTTGATATCTGTAAAAGTCTTAGATAGTGCCTGGTCTATACTACGTACTTTATGCTTTTTTGTTTTTATTTTTATTTTATTCTAGTCTAGTCTATATTTTCAAATTCAGTTTATTTAAGTTAAATTTTTTTTAAAGTTTACCTATTTCTCCCACCCAACCCCTACCTCTGTCAACTACCAATCTATTCTCTGTGTCTATGAGCTTGGGGTTTGCTGTTTGTTTGTTTGTTTTTAAATCCTGCATATTAAGAGAAATCATATGGTATTTGTCCTTCTCTGACTTATTTCACTTAGCATAATGCCCTTGAGGTTCTTCTGTGTTGTTGCAGATGGCAAGATTTAATTCTGCTTTATGGCTGAATAATATTCTATTGTGTGTGCTTGTATACATACACCACAATTTCTTCATCCATTCATCCGCTGATGCACACTTAGGTTATTTCCATATTTTGGCTATTGAACATTGGGTACAGATATCTTTTCAACTTAGTGTTTTCATCTTCTTTGGATAAACACCCAGAAGTGACATTGCTGGATCATATTGTAGTTCTATTTTTAATTTTTGGAGGACCCTTCATACTATTTTCCACAGTGCCTGAATCAGTTTACACCCCCACCAGCAGTGCACAAGGGTTCCTTTTTCACCACATCCTCACCAACACATATTAGTCTTTTTTAATAACCATTCTAACCGGTGTGAGGTGATATCTCATTGATATTTGCATTTCCCTGATAGTTAATTACATACAGCATCTTTTCATGTACCTGTTGGCCATCTGTATATGTTTTTTGGAAAAATGTCTGTTCAGACCTTCTGCCCATTTTTTAATTGGATTTGTTGGTTTTTTGCTGTTGAGTTGTATGAGTTCCTTACATATTTTGGGTATTAATCTTTTATCAAACATGTGATTTGCAAATATTTTCTTCCATTCAGTATGTTGCTTTCATTTTCTGGCTGGTTTCTTTGCTATGTAGACGCTTTTTAGTTTGTTGTAGTCCCACTTGTTTATTTTGCTTTTGTTGCTTTTGCTTTTGGTGTCAGGTTTAAAAAACTGCCAAAACCTATGTCAGAGAGCTTACCACCTGTTTTCTTCCAGGAGTTGTATGGGTTTTGTTATCATTTTGTTATTATCTTAATGATTGCATAAGTTCATTGTATCAATGTAACATGTCTCTTCCTTTATTACTGGGCATTTAAATTGTTTGTAATTTTTACCAGCCTTAGGGAATTACTAACTACAACCACTTCTAAATATAACTGCTATCTGAGTTTTCTGTGTTGTCAGATATTTACACTTTATGGGTGTGTCTTGACGATTGTTCAACACTGTATATATTGAGTATAAAGAATAAGAATTGTAATAATGCAGTCTAAAACTAGATAAATGAGTGAGAGGGAAACTAATTATGTATGAGACTTCAGAGGAAAAAACAATTTTTTAAATGTTTTGGAATAGAAATCTAGTACTGTTTACCATGGTTGTCATTTTAAAATAGTAATCTCTCCTACTGGTTCATAGTTTTTAATTTTAAGTAAGACTTATCTAAATTGTCTGAATATTACCTTGGTAAGAATTAGAATAACTGCATTTTCCCCTTCATTTTTGTCTACACATCACATATTGTCCCTCTCTCAGCTCTTCCTATTGTGTCCTTCAGTACCTTATTTTTGTGCTAAAAGACCTCATCTACTTTTCCATAACAGAAGTAATATAGCATAATGGTGAAGACAGTGGATCTGGAGCTCGCTACCTTGCTTACCCATTTATTAGCTATGTGACCATAGTTGAGATATTTAACCTCTCTCCACAATTTCATTTGGAAAATAGGAGTAATCATATTTACTTTGTAAAGTTGTGAGGATTAAATGTGATAATTTAGGACCTGATAACGTGATAAACACTCAGTAAATATTAGGTGTTATTATTATTACCATCTATATAGTCATCATCACTAGCACTACCATCCACACCCCCATCATTTCACAGCCGACATCATTACTTCCTCCACTTCCTGTTCTACATGGCTTTTCCTATAAACTTCTTAGAGGTTACTCCTTTTCTAGCATTCAGCATTTGTTTCAGAAGACTAAGAGGTCAGCATTCACCAAGTTTGCCATTCCCACTTTCAGACTTACTCAATTTATTACATATCCCACCTACTTGGGGGCTTACAGAATTCTGCTATTTCCCCTTGTCATCTACTTACCTCGTAGTCACTTTCCTGTGTTCATACATCAGCTCTATAAGAGCTGCATCCTGAGCAACTAGGTTTATGGCTGGCACAGAGCAAGGGTTCAATAAATATTTGTTGAATTAATAAATGAAGAATAAATCTGCTATGAAAACTAGTGTTCAAAAGCTGGTTGGATAGATGGATGGAGAGGGAAATGAATTTATCCCCTTGCTCAAAACCTTCTACTTCAGGTTTTAGGAGACTTGTGGACATTCCTACATTAGTGTCAACAAAGTTCATGGCTTAAAACAACACAGATTTATATTCTTACAGTTCTATAGGTCAGAAGTCCGAAATGGGTCTCACTAGCCTAAAATTAAAGCATCAGTGGGGTTGCACCCCTTTTAGAGGCTCTCGGGGAGAATCTGTTTCCTTGCTTTTTCCAGCTCCTAGAAGTTGCCCACATTCCTTGGCTTGTGAACCCCTTCTTCTGTCTTCAACACCAGCAATGATGGGACGAGTCTTTTTTTTGTTGGATCACTCTGGCACTGACTCTCCTGCCTCCTCTTTCACTTATGAGGACTTTTGTGAGGACCTGATAATCCAGGACAATGTCCCCATTTCAAGATGATTAGCAACCTTAATTCCATATGCAACCTTGCCATGTAATATAACATAGCCTCAGGCTCCAGGGACTGGGACAGGGAGGTCTTTGGGGGACCGTTCTTCTGCCTGCCACAAGCCGTATCACATACCTTTGCTACATAGCTCCATACCTTCCCAGTGCCAGGTAATTTACCTCTGTTCCCTGTTAGTCCTTCTTAGCCATAGCCACTCCCAAACTTTTCCACTGCTCAAAACTGCCCCAGCTCTGAAACCTTAAACTACAGAATTTTATTTTCAGTTCTGTATTTTAGAAAAAGTATTCAGGGGCCAAATTATAAAAGCCTTATTTACTGGGTTAAGTATTCTGAACTTGAACCTGAATGAAGCAGGAAGTCAGTGCAGAGTTTCATCAAGAAAAACGTGAAAAGCCACAGCCAAAGAAACCAGCCTTTGAATAGGAAATATTGAATTAATTACGTCTTACATACTCATCTTTTTTCTCTCCTTAATCCACTTTGAATTAGGAAAAAGAGGAGGGAAAGCATGGAGCCTTAGGAGATAATGAAGAGATGACCAGAGTATCTTCTGACAAAAAACAGGTGAATTTTTATGATTTTTTTTAAAAGGCATATCTATTCATAATAACAAAGCAAAAGGGATTGTAGAATTCCAAAACTAGAATAAAAGTCCCTTTTACACTGAGGTTCCTCATTCCCACTTCCAAGAGGGTTTTTGGTATACTCTTCTAAAAATTATGCATTTACAAGACTATACATGTCTCTCCAAAGGGAAAAAAAAAAAAAAGAACAGATGGGATTATGTATTCTGTAATATGCGCCTACATCTTGCTCTTTTTTTAAAAAATTTTCAGATTTAACTCTTGTCACCTTCCCATATTAGTTCATATAATGTGTTGAGAAATACTCTTCCATGTTTTCTCAAACTCCAGCACATCCTGCTGGTCCTGCCAAGAATGCAAGGCCCTAACTGTTCTTTACCTAGGCATTTCTCAAAGTTGTAGTTGCAGCAGGCAACCTTGAGGGTTGTGGTAATGCCTCCCTCTGGGATATAGAACAGATTTGCTTACTGTTTGCAGTAAGACACAACAGAATTCCCAAGCTCAGTGTTCCTGTCCTATAAGACAACCCACTTTATGTTCAGGAATCCATTGGGGCCCATCTGCCTGACCCCCGTGGGACTTGTGGGCAAGGGAACCATCACAAATATAATGCTCATATTACTTGCTGTTCTGGGAACTGTAAAGTCCTTTGTTTCTGACCCAGGAGGTTCATGTCTTCTGTCAGCATCCATGATACAGTAACAGGCTAACGTACTAGCTTGTGAGTAGGGTGAAATCAAAGCCCAGTCCTGAGAAGATGAACCTTTTTTTTTTTTTTCAATATTGCATAGTATTTTCTTGTTTTTTTAATCTTTTGAGTTTTCCAGAGAGATTCCTATTCATTGGATGTGGAGTGGAAACAAAACATGTATATTTTGAAAAAAGTTACCTTGATGATTCTGATGTACATTTCCTGGAGATGACCAGGTTATTTCTGAGAGTGAGTCTCTACGATACCCAACAAGAATATAAAAATAATTTGTCTTAGAATTCTTAGAATTTTTAGTTATAAGAAAGGCAAAGGGGAAAAAGTAGTGAGTCACTGTTTAAGTAAATGTATTAGTTCATATACAAAGCCGACTGTCCTCTTTTGCCTATGTTTTAATGTGAAACTCTGTGACTAGGATTACATAGACGACTTGCCAAGATGTTAGTGAAGTGAAGCAAAATCAGGATCCAGAACAGTGATTCACTGCAAAGATTCAGTCTTCTGGGAGTTGCAGTAAGTGGAAGTACCAAAACGGAATGCAACTTAGACTTTGTTATAAGTTTGGGATGGAAAAATCTTTCTCTCAGACTTGATATTTTGGCCTTAGATAGAAACAAAATGGGAGGGAAAAACATATCTTCTGTAGTGAAAAGGACTCTAGACAAAAAAGTGATAAATGAACTTGGCCTAAAAGATTGTTCTAATTAAAAATAAATTGATGAGTATCCTTCCCATTTTTTAGCAACTTTTTTTTTTGTAAGTCTTTTGTGGTCAGGGTTTCTGGCTTGATTTCTGTCTGCTTAACTACTTAGAAAGTTAAAGCTAAAATCTGTTTAACAGCATCCTTTCCCATTGGTCACAATTGGTTTGGTTTAATAAAATGAGCTCTAGTTTGCAGAGATCTTTTGATAAGGCCTCATCAGTGATAATTTTTTAAAACCTTGCTGAAAGTACTTAGATGTAGATACTAACATACACTGTGTGTTTAAGGAACATAAAACTCAAGAAATTTTGGGATGGGGAGGGAAAAGGGGTTCAAAGTAAATTTAAAGCTTATTTTAAAAGCCAATATGGATAGGTCATTCATATTTTAGCTATATTTTTGAATATTTATTTTGTAAGGGAAAGATTTTTGTATACCTTTTAAATGTCCTTAATGTTTAGGGCAGGGTTGGTTGGTTATCTCAGAAAGGGAATTCTATAAAATCTTCTTCATTCCTTCTTTTTAGGCATTTCACAAAATATCATTCTCCATAGTTTCAAATATTTATGCTCATAATTGAAACTGAAACTTGACTATTTTAGTTAATACAGCTTTGGTCTGATCTGTAAAGGGATTTCAAATATTGGGAATAACTGTAGAGTAAAATTCCTTTGAAAGGGAGTAGAAATAATGGACACTCTGTTCTCAGCCCAAGTCCCCCTCCTATTGTAAAGTTCCTTATGAGCCCAGCGATCAGGTTTACATTCCTTACTTCAGAGTCTTTTGCTGTGAAAACAGTATAGACTATTTTGTGTCTTGTGTAGAACTGATTTTTAACCTTAGTCTGGTTTATCTGATATTAATAGTATTACAGCAGCTTTTTAAAATTAATATCTGTATAAGTTAGGACACTTTAGATTTAAAATAACAACTCTTCAGAACCCCAGCCAGTGCCCAGCCTCTGGGACTTGAAGCAGAGTCAGCCCAGTCCCTTACTGTGGGTGGGATATTGCTGAGATAGCTCGAGTTTACTTCTCCCCCTTTGAGTTCTCTCTTCCTTTCTAACACCCCAGGGTATGTCTTCCTTTCTTTTGAGCGTGACTGTGCATTTAAAAACATTTTTAAATTCATAAATATCTATATATTTGTAGGAGGTGCATCCTACCCACATTAGTCTAGACTGCCACAGTCCTAAAAATTGGTAGTCTCTCTTTTAGAAAGAAGCTGAGAATTATCTTTATTTTAGTCAATATTTAAAACATTAAAAGATTTAAGATGACCTCTGCTTTAGCTCTGCCTTTTACCATCTGTGGGTCTTTCAGAAAGTCATGTAAACTCTCCGGGCTTCACTTACCTATGTGTAAAATCATAGGGTTTTCCAAGTTTTTCCTTACTACTATCTAGAAGCTTAATATTAGATAGTCCTAGACTAGATGCTATAAAAAACAAGTTAAGTCACCTTGGTTCTTGCCATTTACTAGGTAAAACTGTATTCATTTTTTACTAGGACAAATTTATGACAATTAAATGCTTAATTATTTGGTTAAGAAAGCCTAGATATAGATGATTTCTGTTATAAAGTCAACATTAAACTTTCAGAAATTTTTTTGGACCTAATGAGAAATGTGCTTGTGTTCATACTGTGTTCAGATAAAGAACTAAATGAAACTTTCATTTTATTAATACATCAAGTATAATCCATGATATGATCATTAGATATTATAACTAATCACATAAATTATGCATTATTGTTTTGTATCTTAATGTAGGTGAAGAGAACTGGTCTTGTGGTGGTGAAAAACATGAAAATTGTTGGCCTGCACTGTTCTAGTGAAGACTTACACGCTGGGAAAATTGCTCTGATAAAACATGGATCAAGGCTGAAAAACTGTGATCTTTATTTTTCCAGAAAGCCATGTTCTGCTTGTTTGAAAATGATTGTAAATGGTAAGTGCAGATTAAGGCTTTGTTGGGGATTAATAGCATTTATCTGAGAACAAATCAAGTGAGAACAAATTGCCTGAATACCACAGAGATAATTTAGAAATATAAATACATATCTGAAACCAGTTTTATATACTGTAAGAAGAGTCAGAAAACATGGATTCTGTCTCAGTTCTGTCACTAACTAGTTAGATGACCCTCAGTGTATTAGTAGACTGACTAATGCCAGCTGCCATAACAAACACCAAAATTTCAGTGGCTTAATATTCTCGACATTTATCACCCACGTAATAGTCCAGTGCAGGTGTTGCTGAACAGCAGGCCGCTTTTGTGGGCCAGGCATCTCCTGTCGCCTTGCTCCTACATCCCCTCGGGCCTTGAGTCCTCTGCATCTAGAGACAGAAAGAGTAGACGAGGCATACCTGCTTCTTAAAAACTCTGGCCTCGAAGCCCCAGGCATCATTTCTCTTTACATCCATCCCGGGAGCTGGTTCCTGGCTGGGCAGCTGCCTCCCAGTGAGTACTCTACCCTTTGGAAGGAGGACCACAAATGATTAATGTGTAGCTAACCATCCATCTCTGCCCCACCGGGCTACTCACCAAACCTCTTTGTGCTTATGGTTCTGTTTTGCACCCAGCTAAGTATTCAGACCATTCGCATACTTAAAATTTTTTTTATCTTTTACATAGGCTCTGTGATAATGTGATTTGTAATATGAATTCTTTACTTGGTCTTCATTTCATTCCTGGCGCAGAGCAACTAAAACCTTGTGGATTTCCTGTGTGATCAGAGTGATAAAGGTGTCTTTTGTTTTTCATAACAGGTCCCTTTTAACCGCAACTGAGTTTCTGTTAATGAGGTAACTCTTTGGAAATCCCCTGTGAATGGGGCCTGATTGCCCAGGAAACCAACCAAATGATTAGTGGGGGAACTTTCAGCCTCAGCCCCCTCTGGGGAGGAGAGAGGGGCTGGAATTTGAGTTTAAACACCAACGGCCAGTGACCTAATCAGTCATACCTGTGTAATGAAGCTTCCTTAAAACCCAGAAGGACCAGGTTCAGACAGCTTCTGGGAAAAAAGGCTAATGTAGTTCCTAATCCTTTCCCTCAAAGAGTTATTTGGGGGCCAAAACCAATTTAATGTTACACATCATCTATTAACAAATAAGTGATGCAGGCTGTAAGTGATATATGAGCTCAGAGAAGAAAGTGATCCCTGCAGGTTGCCCTGCTGTGAAGAGCTGGGGCTTAAGCTTTATCTTCATGGGTCAGATGTAGAGGAGGAGGAACATGTTCCCAGTCAGGGGGACAACACATGTGGGGTCATCAAGTTGTGAGAAGCAAGGTTCTGGGGGTCAGTGTTTGAATCGGAAAATTACTCTTGGAGAGAATAGTGGCAGATGGATTATAATGACAGGTTGGGGTTTCAGTAGAGAACTTTGAAAAAACTGCCTGGCCTTTCGGCTCTATCTTATAGATCAGAATTTCCTAAACTTGTTTTGAGGAAGAGCTATTTTTATTTACATCAGTCTTAAAGAGTATTGATCAGATAGGTGGCAAGGCAGTTCCCTTGAGCTACAAGTGGAAGCACTTCCAGGAAAAATGGTCAGGTGGCCAGAGCCTTCTGGCCTGCAACAAGTATTTCAAGTAGGTAGGTATCTATGCTGAGTTATTAGATTCTGTAGTCTTCCCCCTACACTTAGAAATAGAGAATATAAGTGTGATAGTGGTGGTGGCATTTTTCTTCTCCTTTTCCCAATTAACTGTGCATATTGGATATTCATTTTATCACTTGTGTTAATTGACTTATAATTCCTATTATAGATAATATGGAGCCATTGAAGATTTTTGAGCAGAATGTAACATGATTAAGATTATTCTTTTTTGTTGTTATTCAATTGGAACGTGGAAAGATAAGAGGTTGAGGGCTTGATTAGTAGACTGTCGCATTAGGTAGAGTGTAAGAGAGGATTCAGGTGGTGGCATCGATCTAGAAAGGAAAGAATGTAAAAGAACCAAAGATTTGTTGACTGATCTCTTCTAGAGTCAAGAGAGAGTAAATGAATGAATAAAAGTTGTGTTTTGCGCTGAGCTGATTATGCTGAAAGCACTCTTAATAGCCTCAGAGCCAAGAATTAGAAAAACAAGGGATTGCAAATAATTCACTACTGCTTGATGTGTTTGAGTTGACATTTAAACCTGGTAAGAAAGATAATAAAGTGTGGAAAATCAGGAAGGACATGCAATGGAAGTGCTTTTGTTCTGGTATTAGACCCATATATAAATAAAATTACTATGTTTGATTAGGTTTATATATTATTTATTTATCTTGGTAAGGGGCATGGTTTAACCCTGTGCTGTAGCTAACTTACTTTAGTTATAACTACTGTTACTTCAGTTATGAAGTAAACATTTCTGAAGCACAGTGGTTCTCAAAATGTAGTCTTTGTCTTCCTGATGGTCCACAAGTCAAATTATTTTCATGACAATGTACATTTATGCTAATAGTCCTCAAACACTGGTGAGTAAAACCACCGTTGTCATGGTATGACTCAGGGCAGTAGTCGTCCTTGTAGTCTTCCATAGCAGGGAGCAGGGGTCATATAAGAATGTTGTTGATGAAACAGTAAAAAAATTACTTCTATTAAACCTCAGCCCTTGAGTATGCATCTTTTTAATATTCTCTGTGATGAGAAGATAGGAGGTGGACATAAAGCACTTTTGCTGTAAACCTAAGTATGAAGTTTGCCTTAAGGAAAGCTTACACAGTTGTTTGAGTTATGAACAAAATTATCCAGTTTTTTTCATGAAATACTATGAACTGACAAACTGTAATTATTTAGACTTGGCTGTTTGGCAGACATTTTCTCAAAAATGAATGAAGTGAACCTGTCACTTCCAGGAAAACAGCTGGCAGTAGTTGTTGCCAATGACAAAATGTGAGCCTTCACATGAAAATTAGAATTTTGAAAAACTCATATCTACCATCATGAACTTATAGCTTCCCAATACTTAAAGACTCTTCTGATGAGATTGGTGGTTATATTAATGAATGAAATTTTTTTAAAGTATTGTGAAATCAGTGTATTCCTGTTTTCCAAATGACCAGTTGTATGATGCTAGAAAATACTGAGTGAGAGAGCCATTCTAAGTGCAAGACCAGCAGACTTCAATGTAACAGTAGAAAAAGTTTGTTGATGTTTTCAGATTCCACATTGTAACTCACCTCTTAAGAATCTATCCCTTGTCAAAATTTTATGTATTGTGAAAGAAGAATATTCATAATTGTCTGAAATGGCTATTAAAATACTTTTCAAATCACTGAAATTAGAACACTCCCTCACACCGTGCACAAAAATTAATTCAAAATGGCTTCAAGACTTAAATATAAGACATGTCATCATAAACTAGAGGAAAACATAGGCAAAACATTCTCTGACATAGAGTGTTGCAATATTTTCTCAGATCAGTCTCCCCAGGCAAAAGAAGTGAAAGCAAAACTAAACAAATGGGACCTAATCAAGCTTATAAGCTATTGCACAGCAAAAGAAATCGTAAACAAAACGAAAGACAACCTACAGAATGGGAGAAAATATTTGCAAATAATGTGACTGACAAGGGCTTAATTTCTAAAATATACAGACAGCTAATAGAACTCAATATCAAAAAAATCCAAACCAGTCAAAAAATGGGCAGAACACCTAACTAGACATTTCTTCAGAGAAGACATTACACATGGCCAACCGGCACATGGAAAGATGCTGAACATCACTAATTATTAGATAAATGCAAATCAAAACTACAATGAGGTACCATCTCATACCAGTCAGAATGGTCATCATCAAAAAATCTACAAATAGTAAATGTTGAAGAGGGTGTGGAGAGAAGGGAACCCTCTTATACTGTTGGTTGCAATATAAATTGGTGCAGCCACGATGGGAAACAGTATGGAGGTTCCTTAAAAAAACTAAAAATAGAACTACCATATGATCCAGCAGTCCTAATCCTGGGCATATATCTGGAGAAAACTCTGACTTAAAGAGATACATGCACTGCAGTGTTCATGGCAGTGCTGTTTACAATAGCCAAGACATGAAAGCAACCTAATTGCCCATCAATAGATGACTGGATAAAGAAGATGTGGTGAGATATATATATAATACACACACACACACACACACGAACTGACTGACTGGAATATTACTTAGTCATAAAAAAGAATGAAATAATGCCATTTGCAGCAACATGGATGGACCTAGAGATTATCATACTAAGTGAAGTCAAGTCAGACAAAGTTAAATATGATATCACTTATATGTGGAATCTAAAAATAATACAAGTGAACTTATAAATGAACTTATTTACAAGACAGAAACAGATTCACAGACATAGAAAACAAAATTTTAGTTACCAAAGGGGAAGAGGGGAGGCATAAGTTAGGAGTATAGGATTAACAGATACTACTATATACAAAATAGATAAAAAGAATTTACTGTATAATACTGGGAACTATATTTAATATCTTGTAATAACCTATAATGGAAAATAATCTGGAAAAGAATATATATCTGAATCACTTTGCTATACATCTGGAAATAACATAATATTTTAAATTTAAAAAATACTCCTTTTTTAAATGCTTGTTTGTGTGAGGCTGGATACTTTTCATATACTCTGATTAAAACCTATGGCAACAGATTGAAAGCAGAAGCAGATCTGAGAATACAACTATCTTCTAATCAGCCAGATAATAAAGAGCTTTGTATACACTAATGCCATTCTTCTCAGCTAGTTTTTATTGTTGTTTTGGAAAATACAGTTATTTGGTGTTAAACTATGTTATTTATATTAATGTATAATAGGATCTTTATTACTATTTTTAAGTGATTTCATTAATATTTTTAAATTGTTTTAATTTTCTAATACAGTACATATCAGCAGATATAATCCACATAAACAAAAACTCTTTGGGGTGCTCACTGCTTTTTAGGAGTAACAGGATCTGAGACCAAACAATTTGAGAACCTCTGCTGTAGCATTTGCTATGTTAGTACGTGAAAATTCGTTCAAACATGAGTTATCCCCTTTTCTCCTTGAATCAAGATTACTAAAAACAACCAGAATGCTTACGTCCAAGATTGACCATCAGTGCTGGTTAGGAAATGGATTATGAGAATCCCAACAGAGGGAAAGTGAACCAGCCAGGGGAAACATTCTGACAATGGCTTTGAGGCCTTCAAAATGACTTTACAGCCCAAGCCGTAGTAAGAGTCAGCAGTAGCGGGGTGTAGATGGAAATGTGCATTTGCTCAACTTGAATTTTTCAGCTCGTCTATTACTTTGAATGCAGAAAACCTGTGGACCATCTGTCTCTCCACTCCTGGGCACAGTCATAAAGGTCTCTCCTAGCTGAAAGTACATGAGACGCTAGCGAAGAGGTGTCTTTGTCATAAAATACTAATTAATTGATGAACATTTGTGTGCTTAACTCTGTATAAGGCATCTCATTGTTCATTCTCAAACACAAATTTTAAACTTTTTTCGTGTTTGTTATCCAGTTTTGTTTTCTCTTTTGTAACTGCCTATTCATATTTTTTTGTCTCTCTTGAGGCCTTAATATTCTTGTCAACGCATATGTGCTCTTAAAGAATTAAAATTTTCTCTGTATATTAAAGATTACTAACCTTTCCTCTGTCACATTGATTGAAAAATGTTCCTTCCAGTGTGTTGTTTTGTCTGTTTTTGCGGACTTAAAATCAATTAATATTGCTTTTCCTCCCTCTGCTTCCCTGCTGCCCTCACATTGTAAATTGTTTGTGGACGTTTTGGATAACTGTATATTTTATTATGTGGAGTACTGTAATGCGTTAAACCATTCCCCTGTTTTGACTATTTAGAGTTTTTCTATGTTTATACTGTTTTAAACAATGTTGCACTAAATATTTACATGCTTGAATCTTCTTTTGCCTTTATTTCAAATATTTTCTTAGAAGACCTTCCCAGAGGAAGAATTTAGAGTACAGGGACATTTTTAATGCGTGGGTGAATTGTTTATTTCAGGTACAAAACTCCAGCCAATATCAGTTGTCGGCTGTGATACGTCTAACAGGGACCATGTGCTGAGGACTCTGGTATATAGTCCCAGCTCTGGACTTTGGGACCACACTTAGCAAAGCTAGTGATTCCAAGACACCTTCTGTGGGCTTTGTTGTTGGCAAACTTCCTAAAGGGCCAGATAGTAAATATTTTAGGCTTTGCAGGCTGTATGGTATCCATACACCTGTTCAGCTCTCAACCCAGCTACTCCATTGTAGGGCAGAAGCAGCCAGGCACTATGTCAATGACTAGGTGTGTCTGTTTGCCAATAAAACTTTATTTATAGGCACTGAAATTTGGATTTTATAAAATTCTCATGTGTCACAAAATATTTTTCTTTTGATTTTCCCAGCTATTGGAAACTGAAATCCATTCTTGGCCTGCAAGCTATACAAAAATAGGCAACAGGACAGATTTGGCCTGTGGGCCAACAGTTTGTCAATGCTTGGGTTGTACCATTGGTGGCCTGGTAATAGACATTTATTATAGTGGGACCTCTGGATCTATTGCAATAATATGGTGGGTTTATCAAGAAAACATTTAATTTCAGCATCATCTAATAACTTCCTTTCATATTTTGTATTTCAGCTGGAGTAAACCGAATTTCATACTGGCCTGCTGATCCAGAAATAAGTTTGCTTACTGAGGCTTCTAGTTCCGAAGATGCAAAGTTAGATGCCAAAGCAGTGGAAAGATTGAAGTCAAACAGCCGGGCTCATGTGTGTGTGTTACTTCAGCCCCTGGTGTGTTACATGGTGCAGTTTGTAGAGGAGACCTCTTACAAATGTGACTTTATTCAAAAAATTTCAAGAACATTGCCGGACACTAACAGTGACTTTTATTCTGAATGTAAGCAAGAAAGAATAAAAGAATATGAAATGATATTTTTGGTTTCCAATGAAGAAATGCATAAGCAAATACTGATGACTATAGGTTTGGAGAACCTGTGTGAAAACCCGTACTTCAGCAATCTAAGGCAAAACATGAAGGACCTTATCCTACTTTTGGCCACAGTAGCTTCCAGTGTGCCCAACTTTAAACACTACGGGTTTTATTGTCGCAATACCGAACAGATTAATGAAGTTCACAATCAAAGTTTGCCACAAGAAATTGCAAGGCACTGCATGATTCAGGCCAGGTTATTGGCGTATCGAACTGGTGAGTTACATGCTTAGTTCATAAATCCGGGCCGATTGGGTCATATTTGTTTCGGAAGTAAAGCGGTGTTTATCTTATCTATGGTACCGTTTATTGACTCTTAGATACTAAAGTTTGGCTGATCATACAAATATAGAGACATTAGACCCTTGAGTAGACAGTTCTTTCCTAGAGCAGTTTTAGGATTTCTCGTGACCTGTATTGGGTGCTACATTTATAAATCAGGCTTTCATTAGGCCCATTCTGCTTCTTGCTTTGACTGTTTCACTGTTTAGTGAGCCCTCCACTAGAGATAGGACAAAGAGAGGAGAGAGAACCAAAATCATTCATTTTTTAAAAACTCTTAAATATTCTGTATATATATATTCAATATTTAGTAAATTTTTAAATCTTTAAACTAAAAATATGAATTCAAAATAACCAACAGACTCAAAGGTAGTTTTGGCAGATTCTTCCAATTTCTGATATATCTTCCAATCAGCAAGTTGAGAAGCCAAACATTTTTACTCTATTATGTTAAGTTGTACATGAGTATGTATGTGAAATATTGCTTGGGAATTTTCTCTATCATGATAAAAGGTGATAGCTGTAATTCCAATTATAGAACAGCGTTTTTACATCTTCCCAGACATAAGATTTTTCAAAGTAGAATCATGATCACTTTTTAAAATGCAATGTTGAAACGAGGAAAAGAAAGTGCAGGCAGGAGGAAGAGTCGAGTAAGATTTGGTGAGTGGGTTATAGTAGGATTTTTAAAACTTATCCCAAGAAAGGAGAAGAAAGAAACTCTTCAGAAAAAGTCCATACAAATGCCACCGGTCTGCAGTATATGCTAAACAAAGACCACAGGTTGAAGTAATTGCAGTAAGATGGAGTTTTTCAAATGTAGCGTCTTAGAATCACTGTGGAACTTTTATTAAAAGTACAAACGCTCAAATTCCAACCCAGAGCTACTAAACCTAGTCTTGATGTGTGTGTCCTAGGCCTGTGGATTTTTGAGGTTATGCAAGGGATTCCGGCATTCAGCAGAGTTAATGATCACTCAATTCTTATTAAAGAATTTGATTCTACTACAGGCACAAACTATACGATGCCAAACAACTGTATTGTGTAAAGGTCTGATTTAATGTAATTATCCTGTCTCACGGGCTATTCGTTTGTCTCTGCCAGCACCAGCTTTATACAGGTTTTTTTCTCTAAACCATTCTAGAAGGATAGGAACATAAATGGGAACAGCTGTTATCGGTGTACTTCACTAATTCCCACTTGCCAGTTAGAATTCCGCAGATTCCAGAGTGAGCGGAAGATGGGGGTGTGAGTCTGCTGGTCTTGATAAAAGGCGCTCTTCTCACAGTACCTCATAATACCACATATGCCCCCAGTGTTTAAAGATGCAGTGATGCAGAGATGTAAATTTGCAAATGTATTCTTGATTAGATGCTCTACTAGTATAGTTATAGTATTGTAAATTTATCTGCTGTTAATGTGCAGAGTTGTGTACTTAGGCACTTGATGGGTGATTTAAAAGATTTTTCAAGGTTAATTTTTTGTCTGTGTATGACTTCCTTGCCTGGAACCCAAATCCTGAATAGAGTATGACTGTCACGTCCTGCACTTCACCATGAGCTCTTCCAGGGAAGACACCATGTTCTATGAAAAGGAATTCAAAAGTTTTCAGATTTTAGAAAAATAATGTTTATATACTATATGTATGTGCAGTAAGCTGTCTGAAAAAACTTGACATAAGGGGTTGCAGATAAGGGATTCTAGACTGATGCTCTTCATTGATGATAAATAACTAACAATTTATTGAGCACCTACTAAGTGTCAAACACAGAGATAGGTGGTTTATATATGCACCTCACTTAATATTGAGGACAATCCAGCAAGGTAGATATTCCCTTGACTTAGTGTGTTTCTAATAACTCAAACTTTAAATTTCACTCTCCTCAGCTTACTTAACAACTTTATTTCACTGTAATTAATAGGTGAAGAAATCATTTTGTTAAATCATTTCATTTAAAAATATACATATGATTAAAATGAATTCCAAAACTTTTAACAGCAGAATTCTAAAACTTATTGGAAGTAAGTGCTTAATAATTGTTTTTTGAATGATGAATAAATAGGATCCACAGGTGTTATTGTAAGTATGTTTCTAGGATACCTTGAGGTAGCAAAAAAGTGACAATTTGTTTAGACTCTGGGAGAAGAAAAAGAAATAGGAGGGTGTCACATCTTACCTACCTGGTTTAAGTGTGAGTTTTGATCTCTTCTTACGTCCTGATTCCCACTGGGCTAGGCGTTTCCAAAGCTGAGGATTATGCCTTCCCACTGAACCACAGTGTTGATGAAAGTAGGTTGGGGTAACCAAGAAAGTTAACTGTTTCAGATCATAATTCTCAGCTTTTAGTTGCCAGTGAGTCAGAGGGTTGCTCATGAGAAGTACAGGTTCCTGGGTCAGCCGCCTCCCTTGGAGAGGTTGCTTCAGGGAATATGCATGGGAGCCAGGAGTCTGCCTTTTAAACAAGCATCCAGGGATTCTGATGTAATTGGTCTGTGGATCACACTTGGACAAACCCTGACATGACCACAGTATTGGGAGCCAGAATAACCCCACCTGTGTTCCAGAACCATAGGAGATCATTTGGCTCAGTGATTATATGAACTGACCTTCCTTTCAAAGGTGTACAGAGAAGACCCTGTGAATGACTAGATCCTCAGGAGCAATTTACAGACCTGAAAGTTTTTGAGAAATTTTACATAAAAATTACAGATATGAAAAGATTTTTGAGGAATTGCCTTATCTGCCATCCAACCCTGGGGCTGGGTGAAATATACCCCCCATTATCTGTGGATGAAATTGTATTCTGAGTTTAAAAGGGACTTAGTAAAGAATATTCTCTTGGTGAAACTAACCTTAGCTAAGCAGTAGAGCTTAGTTTACAAGTCACATTTACAGAAAACGTGGCTCCTGGACTAAAAAAAAATAACATGGAAAATACTGAGTGTCAGTGGTAGAAAAAGTAGACTTGATATGAATAACTTCTATTTTTCATTTTTTGTTTCAGATTTATACATGTATTAAGTACAGTTTTACTTAACTTTTAGGAAATTGTAGGGTGAAGCTACAGTTGCATTTAATCTTCATCAATATGAAAATGCCTAAGGGCAAGTTCACAGATAATTGTCACTTCCTCTGTAAATGTACCTGCTTACCTACATTGGTCTCTTATTAAGATTTTTGATAAATACTATGGTTTTTATAAGTAGTGTATAATTGTCTTCAAAATTTGAAACTTACTCTGGTATTCGCAGAAGGAAAAAGTCAATCCTTAATATGTAGACTTTCTATTTTGGTTTTTAAATTTTCTGTGTAAGGTTAATAGTTTTAAGAAATACAGCTTTAGTTGTTGCAAAGTAAACAAGTGGTTCTACAGGAAATTGTAATCTAATATTTAAAACTTCCGCCACTTGATGTAGAAACGAACTTCATGTCACTAACTTGGCATTCTTTTCCCCTCAGGGTAAACTGTGCAGGTCAGGGAAAGCACAACATTTTGTTTCAATCAAAATTTCTTTGCATGTACCTTCCAGGACAAAAAAAAAGAAAAAAAGAAAGCTTGTAAAGATTTGTTTATTTTTGTATTATGAGTTTGAACTTTTTTCATAGCAAGAACACTTCCATAAAATGTATTTTCCATGAATAGAGTGCCAAAAATGCTAGAAGACAGATTTGATTGTTGTAAATGGTTATTACACTAAACACGTTAGTTTAGAAACTTCTTTCTTAATTGATTTCATCATCTATTAGAAATAGTCATTTAAAAACTGACTTGTTGGTGGAAATTCAATAAAGTTGCAGTCAGTTCTGATTACAGCTTTGAAGTGACCTGAATGTGGGCACTGCCACCGTCATGATCTCTGCCCATAGGTGGTGTATGACTGGCTTGGTAGTGGCACTGTCGGTAGATAGTTAGTACCTAGCTCCCGTATTCTATGCTCAACAGTATTTAATGCTTTTCTGTAATTAGTGAGAATGTCAAGGATTGTTACTACACTTATAAAGTACATTTCAATAAATGTGTTTATTATTTTTGGAAAAATATATTTCTGAAACTAACAAATCACTGGTTTTTACTGAATTACATGCCATGTGTTTTTCAGAGGATCATAAGACAGGAGTTGGAGCAGTCATCTGGGCAGAAGGAAAGTCTGTAAGTATGAAAATATTTCTTCATAAACATTTGACTTTGATTTTGTTTAAACATATTTCAGTCATAAGTACATGGCATTTTATTGACCCAGAGGGATTAGTATTTCTTATTGGTGTATTTATTAAGTTCTATAAACATTGGTACATTCTCTCAGAATTCTAGATAGATTCATTCATTTAGCAGAGATTTATTAAGCACCTTCTACAGGGTAGGCTCTGTGTCTTGGTGAACAGAGGAGAGTAAAAGACCACATATTCCACCCTCCGTGGCCTTATATAGTCTAGTGATAGAGACAGAGGTCAAAAAGAGACTGGTATATAACTGTAAATTATAGCATGATATCATGAGAATATAGAGGAGGAATGTTTACTCTGCTTGGAGAAATGAGTAAAATATTCTTGGAGGTAAGATGCTATTAATCTTGAATGAGTAGGTGTTCATCAGGCAAAACAAGTTAGTGGGATGAAGAGGGTAATGTGCAGAGGCAGGGAGTGCAGGAGAGGATGTGGGAATGTGCAGTGACTTGACATGTTGGGGTCCAGGGTCTTTATGTAGAGTAGAGTAGCATAAAATTGGGCTGCACCATGAAGAACTTTGTATACCACGTAGAGTCTGGACTTTATCCTTTAGCCAGTGGGCTACCCTGGCACAGCGTTAACCAGCAGAATTAAAAGGCAAGCCACACATAATTAAAAAATTTTTAGGAACCACATTAAAAAAAAGGTGAATTAATTTTAAGAATATATTTTACTTAATCATCTATTCAGAAATATTATCATTTCAACATGTAACCAATATAAAAATTATTAATACAGTGTTTTGCATTTGGGGGGAACACTGAGTCTTCACAATCCAATGTGTATTTTATACTTACAGTACCTTTCAGTTTGCACCAACCACGTGTGCCTAGTGGCTCCTGTATTGGACAGTGCAATCCAAGAATATTTTCAGTGGGAAGATGATTTGGTCAGATTTGTATTTGAAAAATGAAGAGGGGCTAGACAGGAAATAGGGAGATTAATAGAAAAGAGATGATGAGGCATTGGAATTCCAGACATGGGTTGGAAGGGCATGGAATCAGGAGATACTTAGTAACTGTGAGGCTGACTGAAAGATGAGTAGAGGGCCTACGTTCCGTTCAGTAGACTTTTCAGCAAGTAATTTGACCATCTGGCTGGATGTGTCAAGAGCCCCTCAAGTTCAGCCTAGCCAGTCCATTCGGTTTCTCCCCTGCTAACCTGCTCCTTCGCATGTGGTCACCATCCCGTTCCCCATTATTCCACACATACAGTCAACCACCAAATGCTGTGAATTCCACCTTCAAAATAACTCTCAACCCCGTTTACCTCTACTTGAATTGGTAACACCTACTAGAATGGGTTCCTCTGCCAGAAACTCCCATAGCATTCTGTACAACTTATTTGTGACACTCATCACGGTTAAATTTACAGGTCTTGTTTCTTATCATCTACAGACTGGAAGGTCCATGAAAGCTAGATTCTCTGTCTTGTTTACCACTGTGTCCCCAGCGCCTGGCACAGCACCTGGCCTGTGGTTGGAACGCTCCCTTGTGTTTATATAAATGCTCAGGAGCCTTTTGGCTTAACATCTGGTTCTTAACTACTTTGTGGAAAATTTAGGTTTCCAGTAACATTATCTGCAGTGTAGCCAGCATGATAAAGTGAAAAGATATGGGTTTGCTGTCAAGCAACCTAGGCTTGAATTCTGGCTATGTTACTTACCAGCTTTGTAACTTTGGACAAGCTATTTAATCTCTCTTGGCCTCAGTTTCCTTATCTGTAAAATGGGAATAGTAATCGTAGTACTGTAATCGTACTGCCTAGGATGTGTTGAGGGTTAATTAAATGAAATAACATATATAAAGCTCAGCATGATGTTTGGCATTTAGTAAATGCTCAAGAATAATTTATTATTAATGAGATAATTTATTTGTAAGCTTTTGTTGGCTCACCAATGGTAACAGTGATTTTTATCAAGCTGCTATGGGACTGTGTCTGTTGATACTCTCACATGAGTAACTGTAATAGACTGAAATTTAGTGAGGTTTATAGCATATTCCAAACTATAATAAACATGATTTATAAAATATTTTACTCGTATAGTTGATAAAGCATTCATATAAACAAATTATGTGTTGTAAACTGACTATATATCAATAAAAAAAGGAAAAAAGAAGTAAGTCACTTAAGTAGGAAATTCTATTTTATATATATATATATATACACACACGCAATAGAGGCTTAATAAATGTGAAGATTAAAGGAAAGTGCATTGTTTATTTTCTGCCTACATACAATAGCACATTTTTAGCCCAACAACAGAAATTATTCAAAATATTTTTAGAATTTCTGGCTTGCTAACCAGTAGCACAGCACAGAGGATGTAAGAAATGAACAGTAATTAGTAATTCGCTGAGTACCTGCTAGGTATGGAACACTCTCATAGGTCTACTTTAAGGACAGAAAGGAGGTATAAAACATGGTTTCTGTTTTCTAGGATTTTATAATCTATTCAGGGAGAGATGGCTGAATCAAGTGAAACAGTTCATGAATTAAACAAGCTAGTATTTGACTGCTAAAATGAAGGATTGCCTTGAGGTTGTATATTTGCGATGATCAGCTTGAAATTTAGCTTTGATAAGACCTTACTGCAGTAGGAGCATCTAATACTGTATTTTTTTGATGGTTCAGTTTGTCATGGAAAAGTGAATTCATTATACAAAGTATGATACTAGGCTTTAAAGGTACACTGCCAGATGCCTTTCCAGAGTGTTGGATATAGCTTTGTTGGTTTGCTTACTTTTTGTAGAGAAGTTGTGATGGGACGGGCGCGATGTACTTCATAGGATGTGGTTATAACGCTTTTCCTGTTGGATCCGAGTATGCTGACTTCCCACACATGGATGACAAACAGAAAGACAGAGAAATAAGGAAATTCCGATACATTGTTCACGCCGAGCAGAATGCCTTGACATTTAGGTATGAAATTCGTTTGCATGTATTTTCTTTAAAATGTAGCAAGTTGAACTTAGTTTTCTTTCAGCTGTAATTTATTGCCTTTTTAAAAAATTCCAAGAAATATTCCTTTCAGAAGTTATCCCTCATTTGTGCTTGGTCTTTGCTGCCTGACCTGAGGCTGTTGTCAGGGATCCCCCAGGCCTTCAAATTTATTGAGCAGGTCTTTTTACCTTTCTTCCTTCTCTCTCCAGTATAAAACTGCTTGAAGTTTGTCCTTAGGGTTTTGCATATTCCTAGATTGCAAGATCTCCTTTGTTTTCTAAATGAAGAGCACATATATTTATTATTATGAGTATACAGATTTTATTATGAATCAAATTGCTTTAACATAGCTTTTGTTAGAGATTATAACTGGCATTACCTGCTTCTAATGTTTAGATCATTTCCATAAACATTCTCAGCATTTACCACTAAGTGGGTGATCTTAGAGATTCCAAACTGTGTAAGTCATGGTTTCTAATGCAGTAGGGGATATGAGACTGTATTCAACTTTACATGATCAGTTGTGTGGGAAAGGCCAAGGTGGGTGGAAATTTAGGGGCTGCTATGGATGGAGGGGGTGTGTGAGGGAAAAGCTTTGTGAACAAACTGGCATATGAGCTGTATTTTAAAGGTTTGGTAGGATTGTGGCAATTGGAGATGCTTCCTTGAATGGAAGCCATTCTTGCTTCAGGCATAGCAGTGAACTAGAGGTAGGAAGGTGCTTGTGTGTTTAGGAATGTGGGTCTTCCAGTTAGTCTCGGCCATGGAGCATGTGGGGTTACATTGGGACTGACAAGGGAAGACTTTGTGTTTAGACCTCATGTGGTAGGTAGTGGGGAAGTGAAATGGCACTGATGGCTACCTAGGTTGCAGGTATATTGTTTGAACAGACTAGATGCATAAAACTCTGCTGCCCTGGTACAGGGGAACAGAATGAGAGTCTGAACTGGGGACATGGCTGTGGAGATGTGGAAGGCTGGTGGTGGGGAATGTAAGACGGCTGACTGAGAGCAGCGTAAACCATGGACCCTGGAAGTACAATCCTGGGATCCTCAATGAAGCATCCCGCAGTCCTAAACCACCCTGGCATGCAAAATTTCACTTCTGTTTTTTACCGTGTGCTCTTCATTACAGATATACTTGCTTTATTTTTGTCAAATCCAAACTTTTTTTTTTTATGGCTTGAATTTTTTATTCATTTTTAAAGGTGAAAAACTGAGAGCTGCAACATGGGAAGGATGAGGATTCTTAATTATAATTTTCACAAGGCCTTCGGGGAAAAATAAAACAAAACAAATGATGTGAAGCCCTGATAAGTGATTTATATAGACTCTGAAAAATTATTAGAGAACCCTATTTAAACTGACTAGTGGTAAGCATTAAATTCACTTAAAAACAGAGCTAAGATTCTAAAGAACCATGGGAAACAGAAACATAGAAATTAAATGTTACACATTTTGACAATTGAAATTAGAAATGTAACTAACAAATTTAGGTGGATGGAACATGTGAGAAAAAAACGCGAATTAGTTAACTTTCTCATTTTTCTAGTGGTCAGTAAAATCTATTTTATGTTGGTTTATCAAGATTTAAAATCTATTATTTAGAATTGCAAAGGAAAATCTGAATAAATGATATCAGTGAAATAATTCAGATATAGGACGATCCAGGGAAACTGGCGAGGAAAGTAACTGTTTTCCTTTCTCATCATACACGGAAGGGGCAAAGGCCGCCTCCTTCTTCTTTTTTTTTTTTTAACATTTTTTATTGATTTATAATCATTTTACAATGTTGTGTCAAATTCCAGTGTTCAGCACAATTTTTCAGTCATTCATGGACATATACACACTCGTCACATTTTTTTCTCTGTGATTTATCATAACATTTTGTATATATTTCCCTGTGCTATACAGTGTAATCTTGTTTATCTATTCTACAGTTTTGAAATCCCAGTCTATCCCTTCCCACCCTCTACCCCCCTGGTAACCACAAGTCTGTATTCTCTGTCCATGAGTCTATTTCTGTCCTGTATTTATGCTTTGTTTTTGTTTGTTTGTTTGTTTGTTTTTGTTTTTTAGATTCCACATATGAGCGATCTCATATGGTATTTTTCTTTCTCTTTCTGGCTTACTTCACTTAGAATGACTTTCTCCAGGAGCATCCATGTTGCTGCAAATGGCGTTATGTTGTCGGTTTTTATGGCTGAGTAGTATTCCATTCTATAAATATACCACATCTTCTTTATCCAGTCACCTGTTGATGGACATTTAGGT